CGGCGACAACCCGATGAGGACCACCACGCAACCAGGCGAATCATCTCATCGCACCCCACAGGTGCGGACGACACAACACCACCCGCCAGTTACATCACACCACTCAGCGACGGACACACAGCGTCATGGCATATCCAGGAACCAGAGCTTCGACCCCAACAACGTATGCAGGAGGTGTGGGCAGGAAGGACATTATGCCAGGCGATGCCGCAAAGCACGGAAGTTATTCTGTTGGGAGTGCGGTCGAGCCAATGTCCGCACGATCGAATGCTGTCGCCGGCGTCAGGGAAACGGCGGAGGGCTCCACCAAGAACACGGCGCGGTGAGCCCACCGAACCCAGCGCCGAGACGCCCATAACCATGCGTCAGGATCACGGTCGACTGTACGCCCTGGTCTACTTGGGTAGGGAGCTAGTCGAGGCCGTCATCGATACCGGCGCCTCGAAGAGTTTCATATCCACCACTCTAGCGGAATATATGGCAACCGTAGGAAGCGCAGAAAGAATAACGGTAGCCCTCGAGGTACATATGGCCGACGGTACCAGTAGCAAGGTTTTCGAGGCCATGAAGATCGAGGTTTGTCTCGGACAAGCGATGCACCACGCAGTGCTATACATCATGCCAGGCGCAATAGACGACCTCATACTCGGCCTGGATACGGTGGGAAGCATGGGAGCTGCAGTATCCTGTGGCGGTCAACACGTCGTACTCACCGAACCGACTACACAGCCGGCACCGCCCGTTACCTCACAGACCACGGAGGATAGCACCGCAACCGCAGTAAGTAATACCATCCCGCAGAGGGCGACTAAGAGAAAGCACCGAAGGAAGGGCAGATCCGGGAGCGAGAGGATCAACAGAGTCGACCATCACGACCCCAGTGGACGCGTCGATGAGCATACCTCCGCGGGGACGCCCCACGGTAACAATATGGATGAGGCAACACGAATACGCGACTTCCTAGCGGAAGAACTACAGAAGTTTGAGACCATGAGCGGAGTGGCCAACGTGGCGGAGCACAGGATCGTCAGGACCGACGACCGCCCCATCAGGCAGCGGTACTTTCCGCGCAACCCAGCGATGCAGGCCATCATCAACGCGGAGATCGACGAGCTTCTCTCCAAGGGGTGCATCGAACCCTCCTGTAGTCCGCATAGCGCGCCCATCGTGTTGGCTCGAAAGAAAAATGATAAGTGGAGGTTATGTGTGGATTATCGGCAACTAAATGCCGTACCCGACGCATACCCCTTACCCAGAATACAACAGCTACTGGACAAGTTACGTAGGGCTAAATATATCAGCAGCCTAGACCTCAAAAATGGCTACTGGCAGATACCCCTGGAACCGAACAATCACCCATAGACGGCCTTCACCGTGCCGGGGTGCGGATTATTTCAATGGCGCGTCATGCCGTTCGGCTTACACTCCGCGCCAGCAACATTTCAGAGAGCACTCGACCAGGTCATCGGCCCAGAAATGGAACCCCACGCTTTCGCCTACCTAGACGACATCATCCTCATAGGCTCCACCTTCGAGGAGCACGTACAAAACCTACGAGAAGTACTAGCACGACTACAACGCGCGAATCTCCGCATTAACCCCGAGAAGTGCGACTTCTTCAAGAAGGAACTCCGATACTTGGGTCATGTGGTCAGTGACAAGGGAATCCACACCGATCCCGCGAAGGTAGCCGCGATCCAATAACTAAAACCACCGTCTAACGTGAAGGAAGTACGCCAGTACCTCGGAATACTCGTGGTACCGTCGCTTCGTGCCCGATTTCGCCACGTTAAGCCTACCACTCACTGCACTCCTGAAAAAGGGTAAGCACTGGAAGTGGGGAGTCAAACAACAAGAGGCCTTCGACACCCTCAAGCGGAAACTCACCGAGGCCCCCGTACTCGCGTGTCCGGATTTTAACAAGCAATTCACCCTACAGACGGACGCTAGTAGCTTTGGCCTGGGAGCGGTACTGACGCAAGAGTTAGAAGGAGGCGAACGCGTAATATCTTATGCCAGCAGGAAATTGAACAAAGCGGAGGCCAACTACTCGCCCACAGAGGGCGGGGAATCCGGAAGATGAGGCCCTACTTGGAGGGATACAGGTTCAAGGTGATCACCGACCACATGTCGCTGAAGTGGCTGAACTCGATCGAGAGCCCCTCTGGCCGTCTAGCGAGGTGGGCGCTGGAGTTGCAGCAGCACACGTTTGACATAGAATACCGAAAGGGGAAGCTNGGCGGGGAATCCGGAAGATGAGGCCCTACTTGGAGGGATACAGGTTCAAGGTGATCACCGACCACATGTCGCTGAAGTGGCTGAACTCGATCGAGAGCCCCTCTGGCCGTCTAGCGAGGTGGGCGCTGGAGTTGCAGCAGCACACGTTTGACATAGAATACCGAAAGGGGAAGCTCAATCTGGTCGCGGACGCACTATCACGGCAACCACTGGAGACCCTCCGGCAAGCGATAACGGCGGAACCACAATGCAAGTGGTGGCAAAAGCGCGTGGGCGAAGTACGCGTCAACCCGGAGAAATACTCGGACTATATGGTGAAGGACGGACAGCTCCACCGCCATATCCCGTGCCGAAACCACGATGAGGAAGCAGTGCCCTTTAAGTTATGTGTACCAACCCCCCTTCGCCAGCGGGTGTTACAGGAGAACCACGATGTTCCCAGCGCCGGCCACATGGGCATCCGGCGGACAGTGGAGCGGATTGCCAACCGATATTATTGGCCAGGTATGTTTCGTGACATCAGCCGCTACGTACGCCAGTGTGATTCCTGCCAAAAATACAAGGAAGGACAACAGAAACGCGCGGGAAAAATGCTTTCACAGGTGGCTTCGGAGCCCTTCGCAACGATCTGCACAGACTTCGTCGGACCCCTACCGCGATCTACACATGGCAACACCATGCTATTGGTGTTCTTCGACCGTTTCAGCAAGTGGGTGGAGCTAGTCCCAATGAGACGCGCTACGGCAGAAGGCCTCCGCCGTGCGTTCAGGGAACGAATTCTAGCGAGATTTGGCGTTCCGAAGATACTCATTTCGGAAAACGGCGTCCAGTTCACCAGCACGCTGTGGCAACGCTACCTCCAAGAGATGGGAATACGACAACAGTTTACCGCGCCATACACCCCCCAGGAGAACCCAACGGAGCGCGCTAACCGGACGGTCAAGCGAATAATAGCTCAACTCACCAGATCGCAAAACCAGCGATGGGACGACCTCCTCCCCGAAATTGAGCTAGCCATAAATACCAGTGTCACCGCCTCTACTGGGCACAGCCCAACTTTTCTCGTCCAAGGCCGTGAGCCACGACTACCTGGAGCACTCTTTGACGAGGTCAACATTGGGACGGGCACTATTCCCCCCACTGCCGAGGAGAAGTCCAGCAGGATGCAGGAGGCATTCAGGATTGTCCGGCAAAACATGGAGAGAGCGGCGACGGACCAGGCCCGCCACTACAACCTCAGACAGCGAAAATGGACTCCTAGGGTTGGCGAACTAGTTCTCGCCAAGGAACACCATCTATCCAAGGCCGCGGACGGATTCGCAGCGAAATTGGCACCCAAATATGACGGCCCCTACAAAATCCTGAGGTACATATCACCGGTGATCGTCCAGTTACGCAAGACCGGTGGAGGGAGGGAAAAGACAGCCAATATCACGGAATTAAAGACGTATCATACCAGCGAGGCCATATAGACACAAGGAGACACACAAAAAAAAATGGAACGACCACACAAATAATTGAATTAATTAACCAACTTTAATTTCGTACGTCACTCCAACCACCAGAGGGTGAACATAAGAATTTCGGAAGCAAAAAAAAAGAGAAAAACCATAAAATGGACGTCAACAATAGATGGGCGATCAGCGTCAAACGCATACGCGAATGCTTAGAGGAGGAAGCGAAACGTCCTCGCACCCAGGTACTGGGGTCACAGCCCACTACCGGCATACGAAACGCCGCGACGGTCCGCGCCGACGCAGCCAACGCCGCCGCGAGACACACGGAGCTGACGGGTAGTGCCACCGCGCGCCGCGTCGCAGCCATACGGGCGGTCAACGCCCACGCCGCAGTCGGGACGACATCGTCGCCACCATCCACCACGCCGCAGCGCACATGACTAACATGCAAACTAGACAGCGGATATCCGCTGCCACTACTGCAGTCGCTGCCCCCAGCAGCGTTCATGCCTATGAACCCCACACCAGGATCCTCCGCACATACCGGCGCCAGCACCACGCGCGCCCTCACGGCGCCGATAACCACTACACCGACGGCCGCCAAACACTCGACCGTCACGCACACAGCCGTCGCACATATGGCAGCTCGACGAGCCGTCCACACTCAACAAGTCGCCGGGCGCACTGCCGCCTGGGCAGAAGCCGCCGCAAGGGCGCATCCTATCAGGCATACCGTACCAACGCCCGAATGTATTCTCGGCAGGATAACGGCCGGTACGCACGACGCCTTGGTAGTCGCAGCAGAGCGAGACATCAGTACCGAGGAGAGTTCCACGAGCAGCAACTCAACAGAATGTAGTGGGTCGAGCGGAAGTACGACTAGCTCGGACGAGTCGAGCGAGGGGCCGGTTAACTCGTCGACCACCCCGGCAAGCGATCAGATACCCGCGAAGCGAGTACAATCACCGGCCATCCAACTCTCCTCAGGGGAAGAGACAACGCCACGGGAGGAGCAAGGGCCAGTACTGGCATACCCGTCAGGGCCAGGCAGCATCGCAATATACCCGGTGGACCTACGTTCATTAGAGGGGACACGATGGTTGACAGATGCGGTGATGGACGCATGGGCGAGAGGGCTAGAAGCCGAGTTGGGACCACGGGCCACCATACTCAGCCCTTTTGTGGTGTGGCAACTAACGCAGAAAAGAAACCCGGAGGAACAGTATCGGCGCATCCATCGCTGGCTGCGAAAAACGGACCTGTTCGGCAAGCGGGCGGTGCTAGCGCACCACAACACGGCCGGACACTGGTACCTGCTGGTCCTGTCGAATCGGGAGACCACCCACCATCTCCTCGATATGGAATGCTGGAAGGAACGCTACCTGTGGACCGTTGATTCTAGGGCGAGGTGCGGAGTCGTCCACGCAACTGCAACGTGGGGAGAGTTCCTCCAATGGGAGTATACCCAGAGGTACGGCGGGGTGGGCTTCGAGGTTCAAGAAATCTACCCGAGGGTCCCACAACAGGAAAACGATGAAGACTGCGGGGTATACGTACTGGAGACCATCGAGAGGGCCATGCGCTTCATCGGACAAGGCAGAGGCGCACCAGGATGCATCGCAGAGCCATTCACGGCCGATATGGCAGTCCTGAAGCGGGCACAGATACTGACCACGTTTCGGCAGCACGCAGGTGGACGCCAAGTCGCAGAGCCGCCGCCACCACAACCGCACTCGCAATACACCACGACACACCCGCTACCGCCTCGCCAATTCGACTGCCGCCATCACCGGCCGAATCAACCACTATGATCGCTTCACCGTCGCACGCTCCATTATCAATCCACCATCCATCGACTACACCACCACGAACACTAATCAGGTCATCCCTATCTCCTCAGCAGCCGTTATCCCGAACGGAGAAACAGCCGACAGTGCCACCAGAGGGAATAAGCATCCTCATCAGCTACGCAGAGGGACCGGCATTATACCAGTTCCCCGACAATAGCGGACAGAATCCGTCGAAGCCTCAGAGATATCACCCCACGCGCATGCAAACCCCGCCTGAGGTTCAGCGCCAAAGACTACCGGGTAACCGTACACCACTGGGGCGCGCACATCCACCCAAGAGCCAGGGGAGTTCCAGACCACCAAGTAGGGGGGGAGTGTGAGGACTAAATGTCCCCAGAGAATTTAGCCCACAAAAACTCCCGCACCACCAACCAACCCAGTCACACCACAGCAACACAAGTCAGCGCAACTGGCCACGCAGTAAACCACGGCAACACAAGTCATAGCAA